AGCAGGCAAGATTCAGCAGAGTGCAGTTCAAACTCAGTGTCCCAGAATGCAGCTCAATGGAATGCACTTCAACAGAGCGATGAATAGGAATATTCAGGGAGCGATTCTTGAAAAAGTATATGCGAAATGAATTTCATCTGGGTATCCACAGAATCATGCTCTTTTGAATAGAGCATTGCAGCAGTTTGTGTGAAAAAACGGACCTTTGAAAAGCAGTTCGATCCTAACATACCAACATGTTAGGATGTATGTACATGTATGTATATGTTATCATTGTTTCTGTATGTTATGTGGAAAATGTAATAAAATCCTGCCCTTTGGGGGGCAGTTAAAAAGAAAAGAAAAGAAAAGCAGTTTGATCATTTTTCTACTGTGGTTGGTTTAAAGTGTTCTCCGGTTATATTTAAAGGCATCTTTGTTAGGACTATAACAGTTTACGTGAACATGAATGCATATCGTTGAGCAATGAGAGTATAAAAGATTTATTGTGAAAAATTAATTCAATGAAATATTATAATAATTGTATTAGATATATGAATGATTGCACATAATATATATTTTTATTATTAGACACTGTGGAGTTTTTTGTTTTCCTTTTGGGTCCAGGATAACATCAAGGCTCTTAACAGAGTCAGCAAGGATGCTGAATCCCACTTTGGTGTAGTGGTTGGGAGCGTGGATTCTAATCTGCGAAAACTAGGTTTGATTCCCCACTCCTGCACATGCAGCTGCTGGTGTGACCTTGAGTCAGTTACAAAGTTATTTCAGAGCTGTTCTCTCAAGGGGAGTTCTCGGGAGAGCTCTCTCAGCCCCACCTACCTCACAGGGTATCTGTTGTGGGGAGGGGAAGGGAAAGAAGATTGGAAGCCACTCTGAGACTCCTTCAGGTAGTGAAGGGCGGGGTATAACGCCAATCTCTTCTCTTCTTCAGAAGTGGGGAGCATACTGTCGTTCAAGACTTCTGCCTTCTCAAACAGCATTACGTCTGTCTTTCCAGGATTTACTTTCAATTTATTCACACTATTTAATCCCAGCAGCCAGGAAGAAGTTGAAGAGCTCTACCACATCACTTCCCCCCTGTTCACGCAGCAGCCCCTGTGCCCTAACCTGGAGAGGCCTGACGCCCCTCTGCCCCTTCCCCTCTGCTATTGCCCAATACTTCCGGCCTGTTATGGAGATTAAGCCCTTATCAGTCACTTTGTCCTGGGCTCCAGTTTACCTTGAGATGGACCCACTAAGACTGATCCCCAGAAATCAGAAGCCAAGCTCATAACATCTGCAACAGACTTTTAAAAGGCAAATACAGGTGTTTTTGTTGCTAGAAGGACCAAACAGGCGTATCTTTAGAAGCTTGATAATGTAACATAGCACAGTGACATTAATCCTGATCTGCAAACTACAAGGACACTCCCTCTGATCCACCGGGGTGATCCTTAGATGTCTCTTCACCAGGGTCAGTGATGTAACTCTGTTATCTTTTGTTTTCTTTCTGCCTTTTTGATATCTTTCCCTCTCCCTTTTCACAGCCAGGTGAATAGGAGTGTCTTTCCAGAGTCAGAGGCAACCCAAGAGGAAGGAGATGGAAGAGAAGGATCCAGAAGGCCCTGGAACTGGCAAGACATCCAGGAAAGGTCCCCATCGTATCCAAGCAGGGAGTGGTGCTGAATTTGGGGAAAGAGCTGTGCCAGAGATCTTGGTTCAGGAGACTGTGACCGCAGATGTACCCAGCCAACTCTTCCGGCAGTTCCGTTACCACGAGGCTGATGGGCCCCGAGAGGTTTGCAGCCAGCTCCATGGACTCTGTAGGCACTGGCTGGAGCCAGAGAGGCGCACCAAGAAGCAGATCCTGGACCTGGTGATCCTGGAGCAGTTCCTGGCCATCCTGCCCCAGGAAGTGCAGTGCTGGGTCAGAGGATGTGGGCCGGAGACCAGTTCTCAGGCAGTGGCCCTGGCCGAAGGGTTCCTCCTGAGTCAGGCTGAGGAGAAGAGGCAGGCACAGCAGGTGAGGGGTTTTCACTCACTCAGTTCAAACAACGACCTTATCCTAAGGCTTCCTGCCAGTCATTTCTCTGCGTGTGTTAACTGCCATCAAATCACTTCCGACTTCTGGAAACCCTATGAATGTCCTCTCATTAACAGCCTTGCTCAGGACTTGCAGACCAAGGGCTATGGCTTCCTTGATTGAGTCAATCCATCGCCAGCAGCTGTGACCGGCATTCTCAGAGGTATAACACAGAAAGATAAGAGTTCTCTCTGTGTTCATGTGAGAAGAAAATGGTAGGCAGGTAATTTATATCTATTCAGGAAGGTGGGCTTATGGCTGAGTCATTATCTTGTAAGAATTTCCCAGGCTGTGACATGCTAATAGAGGAGCTTTCCTGAGGAGGTTCTTTTGCATATGGATTGGCTGTTGAAATTCTAATCTTATCTGTAGTGCTAAAGCATTTTGTGTTTTTCAAGACTGGAAACCATGCCCTATTCATTTTTAAACTCTCTTCTTTCCTGTTGAAATTGTGTTTATGTTTATGAATTTCAGTGGCTTCCCCGTGTAATCTAACATGGTAATTGTATGTGTCAGCCAGCATTTCAGTGTCTTGGAATAAGATACTGTGCTACGTTGTGTGGTCCCGATGTAGCATCCAGACAGGAATAAAAGAACATGAAAAACACTGCACACTGGGCCAACCTGAAAAATCAGCAGTGGTTGAACATAGCCTAACTCAAACAGGACACAGTATCCTATTCCAACACAATTTCAACAGGAAAGAAGAGAGTTTAAAAATGAATAGGAGATGGTTTCCAGTCCTGAAAAACACAAAATGCTTTAGCACTACAGAGAAGATTAGAATTTCTTTTTTTTAATATTCTTTTTATTAGTTTTCAAACATAACATGTATATATCTTACAAATATAGACTGAATGCAACAAGTAACCACTGAGAACAAGAATGCATATGATATGACTTTACAAGATAACAACAACGACGATAAGATAAAAAGCAGATATAATGCAGAAGGTCAATTGAACTCAATAACAGAGTAACATTTTACTTGGCTTGTGAGTACGGAAGGAAATGTGTAATGAGGGTGCACTAAGTATGGTGCTGGAGAAGACTCTTGAGAGTCCCTTGGATTGCAAGAAGATCAAATCAGTCAATCCTAAAAGAAATCAACCCTGACTGTTCCCTGTAAGACCAGATAATGAACCTGAAGCTCAAATACTTTGGCCACCAAATGAGAAGGGAGCACTCACTGGAGAAGACCCTGATGCTGGGAAAGATTGAAGGTCAAAGAAGATGGGGACAGCAAAGGATGAGATGGTTAGACAGTGTCATAGATTCAACGAACATGAAATTGAGCCAACTTCAGAGGACGGCGGAAGACAAGAGGGCCTGGCGTGATCTTGTCCATGGGGTCGCGAAGAGTCGGACCCGACTGTGCGACTGAACAACAACAACAACAAAGTATAAGTGTACTCAAAAACTGCATATATATCACTGACCAAGTAAAGATTAGAATTTCAACAGCCAATCCATATGCAAAAGAACCTCCTCAGGAAAGCTCCTCTATTAGCATGTCACTGCCTGGGGAACTCCTACAAGATAATGACTCAGCCGTACCCCACCTTCCTGAGTAGATATAATTACCTGCCTACTATTTTCTTCTCACATTGACATGGAGAGAACTCTTATCTTTCTGTGTTATACCTCTGAGGATGCCGGTCACAGCTGCTGGCGAAACGTCAGGTACTACAATGCCAAGACCACAAACATACAGCCCAGAAACTCTTATCTACTGAACTCTTATTTATTTATTTATTTACTTACTTACTTCCAATTTATACCCCGCCTTGCCGGTACAAACTGGCTCAAGGCAGCTTACATAAGTTAAAATACAATAAGATCAATAAATACCATAAAATTCATAATAAAACAATTGCATAAAGTGCTAGTGCAAACAGATGGTGGCGGTTTCCTATACATGATCCAGTAAGAGCAGACCATCTGACGTTATAACAGGGCCGTGGCATGTTCGACATATGATGGTACATTCATCAGTGGTGACTCCTAATCGAAGGCCTGGTGGAAGAGCTCCGTTTCACTGGCCCTGCGGAACTGTAAAAGATCCTGCAGGGCCCTGATGTCCTCCGGGAGCCATGAAAACCTTCGACAACATGTGGCTTTGTTCATTGTCCAACTTTCACAGCTGCACATAGTAATGGTGAATCCTGTGGCATGAATTAACTAGCTTCTGGTCACCAGTGACACATCCTTACACTTAAGAATCTTTTCTAGCTCCTTCATGGCTGCGCTTCCCAGTCTCAGTCTCCTGATTTCTGGTTTATTGTCTCCCTTTTGGTTGATGATGGAGCCAAGAAACAGGAAGTCTTCAACAATTTCAGTTTCTTCATCATCCAACTTAAATTTCTGTTATTCACCACTCATCATTACTGCTGTCTTCCTGATGCTCAGCGGTAATCTTCCTTTAGTACTTTCTTCTTTAGCCTTCATTAGTAATTATTTCAAGACTTCACCACTTTCTGCCAGTAATATGGTGTCATCTAAATATTTCAGTTTGTTAATGTTCTTTCCACCCGTTTTCACTCCACCTTCATCTAAATCTCATCCAGCTCTCCTTATGGCATCTTCTGCATAGAGATTGAAGAGACAGGGAGATAGAATCCATCTTAGTCTGGCTCCCTTGCCCATTGGAAACCATTCAGTTTCTCCCTATTCTATCCAAACAGTGGCCTCTTGCCCGGAGTACAGGTTGCACATCAAAACACTTGGATGTTGTGGCACCCCCATTTCTTTTAAAACCATAGCTTTTCTTGATCCCCACTGTCAAAAGCGCTGTTTCAATCTATGAATCACAAGCTGATATTTTTTCTGAAATTTTCTCCTGTGCTCCATTAACCAACTTAAATTTGCAGTATAATCTGAAGTCCCTCTTCCTTTTCTGAATCCACCTGGAAATCTGGTGTTTCTCTTTCGATATATGATAACAGTCCTTGTTGTAAAATGTTGAGCATCTCTTTACTTGCATGAGGAATTAACGGTATAGTCTGGTAATCGCGACAGTCTTTGACGTCTCTGTTTTTCGGAACTGGAATGTAAAGTTAGTGTCTTCCAGTCTGTGGGCCGTTGTTTTGTTTTCCATCTTTGTTAGCATATTCTTGTTAAGATTTTGATGGACTCCTTTTCTGTGGCATGGAATAACTCTACTGATATCCCAGGTCCTCCTCGTGATTTGTTTCTCCCAATTGCTCTCAGTGCAGTTTTCCTTTCTAAAACTCTTCCTCCTTCTTCAAAAGATCCTTCTTGAAAGGAATCTGTCCTCCTTTCATCTCTTTTAAAAATAATTCTTCAGTGTATTGTTCCCACATTTTGTTCAATACTTCTACCTCTAGATCATTCACTAGGCTGGGAAGAAAACCCAACCCTGGTTCACGCCCCTGTGGTTAAAGCCGCTCTGGTGGTGGAGTCAGGGATGAGGAGTCTGGGAGTGGGTCAGGATCCATCTCTTCAGCCTGTTCTGTTCCTTCTCTTACCCCTCTCCCTTGCGGCTGTTTCAGATGTGGGGAGGATCCGTGAAGGCAGAAGCAACGTTCTCTGCGGCAGAAGGAGCTCCATCAGAGGAAGGTCAGAGGGCGCAGGCCCAGGAGCATGTCCAAGATGCCCTGTCAAGTGGTAAGGGAGCCTCCTGCCCTGATGGGACCGGGGCACGTAGTGAAGCTGTTGGGCAGAAGGTTCAGGACAGGAGAAAGGGGAAGTACGTCTGCAGACTACGTAGAATGGAGTTCTGGGAAATGGTGCCCTAGGATGTTGTGATGGCCACTCCACTCTAAGGAGAAGTATTACCAATTCATGGAGAGCAATTCCATTCCTTTTTACATTCACTGAACTGTGCAAATCTCACTATGCATTAGAAAGACTCAAGGTGGCTCAAAAAAGAAAAGGAAGACAAATCTGGGTGTACCTATTACTCATGGTGAATACATGGAACCTCCACGTTCTCCTGACCTGGATGGGCCAGATTAGCCCACCGTCATCAGAAGCTAAGAATGGTCAGCCCTGGTTAGTTTTTGGACTGGGAGACTACCAAAAAAATTCAGGGTTGCTGTGCAGAGGCAGGCAATGGCATACCACCTCTGAATGTCTCTTGCCTTGAATATCTGGAGTCACCATAAGTCAGCTGTGATTTGACAGCACTTTATACAAACACAAACACACCATGTTCTTGGGCAGCATATATCAGGAAACCTGCCAGGGGCCAGAGTCTTTGCCTTTCTGCTGCAGTACTGTCCTCAGGAGCCTGTTCAGGGTCCTCAGGAGCCTGTTCAGGGGCATCAGCAAAGGCAGGCATGACACCAGCAGGGGCAGGCATGACACTGAGGTTGAGAGCAGAGCACGGGGAGGACATGGTGCCATTTTCATGTCTTGTCCAGCCAGATACCTGCATGTGAAATCAGAGCATCAACTGATGCACTAAAATCACATGGGTTTAGGGCTGGATGTGATGGCAACATATCATACCACGTGATTTCCAGTCGCCTCTTTTTCTCCTTCCCTTCCGGACTCCAGGATGGGTAAGAAGGCCCAGCAGGTGGGAGAAGATCATGCCTGGGCTTTTGGTCTGATCCAGCAGGGACGCTGCAACCGTTAGAGCTCCAGGGCACATTCCAAGTTTCACAGGAGTCTGAAATGTGTCGGCAGCATTTATAACCTCCTGAGGTTCGTGGGAATGGGGATGCATAAGCAGGATTCAGACAAAATATGAATTTGAGGCTAAAATTCCCCCTTCCAATTTTGTCTCCCTTGCAGGCAGTGAAGAGATGGAAGTGGAAACAGCCCCTCGACCTCTGGTCCAGGTAGGGGGGGGGATGAACAGGGTATAGTCAGGGCCCTCACTCCTTTCTCAGGGACAGTTTCGCTCCTGCTTTCTGAGGCTCTGAACGGCTTTTACAAATACAGGGTTGCCACTTTCTGGAACGTCAGGGAAATGGAAATTAGTCAGGGAAAATTAGGGAAATTGTGATTAAAATATATTCAAGCAGTGGATTTTTGACCTGCTGCTGCAGGAGCTTGATGTGTTCTTGTGGCCACTGGAATAGAAAAGTAGCAGACTACAAGTAAAGCTTAATGATGCCCTTTCCCAGCCGCACCCTTTTCTCCGCTCCACCTCCAGCAACCAGCCTAATGGGTTTGTTGAGCTCTGTCCCTGCACAATTTCCAAGGTCTGCCTGTAGCGTTTGCAAAGCAAGGCTAGTTTAAACGTTTAGCAATATATAAACTTTAAACATCTAACTGTTTTCATCCCTACCTGCTAGTACTGCATTTAACTGACATATAAAGATAAGCATGTTTTTTTTAGTTTTTTTAATTAACATTTTTTGAAAAATTACAACAAAAACCAGTTCCCACTGCATTAACATATAACAAAGACATGTAACCAAGCTATAGTTCTAAAACACAGATGTAATATACAGAACTAGAAATGTGCAAATTTTAAATACAACTTGTTAGAGGGTTTGTTTGCTATCGTATCAAGGTAGGTCAAAACGGGAAACCAAGTTTCTGCTAATTTCGAAGAATATGTTGAAGATTCCATAGCTTTGATGTTATCTGAAATTTTGGCCATCATAAAAAAATCCCAAAGTTTGTTTGTCCATTGTGAAATTGAGGGTATCTTTCAATTTCCAACTGGAAGCTAAAATTAGTTTAGCTGCTACCAGAAGAATAGCAATAAGATCACGTGACAATTTAGGAATGCTATCATCATGCCAATAATTCAACAAGATAGTTTCAGGTAAAAGAGGTACATCATATGTAGTAATAAGTTTAATTTGGTACAATATTTTAATCCAAAAATCTTGTATGAGTGGACAAGTCCACCAAACATGAATATATGTGCCCTTCTGGGAGCATTGTTTCCAACAGAACGGTGGAATAGACGGGTTTGCATGATTCAATTTAACTGGAGTAACGTACCATCTTGTTAATAATTTAAAAGATAATTGTTTAATGTTTATAATATTTGTAGAATAAATGTTTGAGGTCCAAATGTCTAACCATTGTGTATCAGTTAGCTGTAGGTTACAATCAATGTTCCCTCTAAGCTGTGGAGTCTTGTGAGCAAAAATTCTACTTTGTGAGCCACTGGCATTAAAGTTGTGAGCATGTGATTTGGCTGCTGCATAAATTAGTCTGCTCGGGAGCCATCCTTCCTGAGCAAAGACAAAAATGTGTGAGCTGGAGGCTAAAAAACTGTGAGCTGGCTCACACTAACTCAGCTTAGAGGGAACACTGGTTACAATCATTTTGCCATGCCTTTTGGTATGCTAAAATTTGGGGTTTGGAAAGAGTGTGTAAAATGGAATAAATTTTAGATAAAAGTCCTTTGTAGCTATGGAAGGAGTCTTTAATTACCAATTCAAATTTGGTTAAAGGAGTGTTAAGATTTTTTCTTATTAAATCACTGTTAATCAAATGTTGTAGTTGTAGATATTGATAAATTGGTAATGTATGCGATATATTGTTTTCTAGCTTATCCTTACTGAGGAGTTTACCTTGTTTTAAAACATCTATAAGTCTGAACAAATTGTTATGACGCCATATAATAAAATCATTCCTCTTACAGCCTGGTAAGAACCAGTGTTATCCCAAAAATGGAGATAAGCATGTTTTTGGGTCATGCTTGTTTATGGAATGGATGTTTTGTCTCCTGCGAAACCCAGCACAGAGCTGCAAATGAGTTTTGCTACTGTTGGATTTCACAGACAACGAGCACTTTCTACTCTGCACCACGCAAAGTAAATTTTGCAAATGTGATTGCTTGTTCCTGCTGGAGTTTACAGAGAGTACCAGCTCTCTCACCCTCTTTCCTGAGTTCTCCCATGCATAAAAGTTGCAAATGAGGGTTGTCTGCTTGTCTAGATTGCAGAAACTCCACCTACTTTCTTGCTGCATATCTGCTCATTACTCTTTCTAGAACCAGAAAGTGAAAGTGAAACTTTCCCAGCTTTGGAAAGTTCCTACTTACCAGAAAACAAATCTGCTTATATCGTGGTGTCTGGCAGGTGATTCTGTGTACTGCTGTATCTGAAACCACATTTTGAAGATGGCTTCTAAGAGGACAGTTTTTAATATGCAGTAGCTGGATTTCAAACTTTGTCCTGACTTCATTCCATGGCTATCACCAGTTGCTGGAAACAAATGCAGAGGTTATTGTAAAGTGTGCTACAAAACCTTTGAACTAAGTAATATGGGAATTAGAGCTGTGGAGTCTCATGCACAAGGACCATTACATCAGAAGAACCTGAAAATTAAATCAAGTCAGCAGTCCATCGCAGTATGTTTAGGTTCAAAGCCAAGTACAAGTTCAGAGATAGTAAAACCAGAGAGGGTGAAGAGACAGCCCCTGCGAAAACTGGAAAACACGATCAGAGTGATGAAAATGGCAAAGAATTACCCACCACACAAACTAGTATAGCTGCCTATGTAATCAAGGACTGTTAGGACAGCAGAGTGCCTGTTGGCTTTACAACTGGTGATGAAGAAGATGCCATTTAACTCTTGTAACAACATCAGTGAGTTATTCAAGCGAATGTTCTCGGATAGCCAGATAGCTCATCTTGGAAAAACAAAAGCAATGTATGTTGTTGCTTTTGGCTTGGCACCATATTTCTCTGATCTTTTACTGAAACAGCTGAAGCAATGCAAAAGGGACAGATGGATTTAGTGGTTCGTTTTTGGGATGATTACTGTCATAAAGTTTCCGCACGGTATCTAACCAGTGTTTTTCTTCAAACTGGTACTGCTGAAGACCTTCTTCAGATGTTTCAAGAAGGCATGTCTTCTTTATCAGTTGCAAAATTATTACAAGTATCTATGGATGGGCCAAATGTAAATCACCTTTTTCTGAGAAAAATAAAAGAAGAAATTAAAACCGACCTTGACTGTAAAGAAGAAGGAAAAGAATTGATTGACTTTGGAACTTGTAGCCTTCATGTTGTACATGGGTCTTTTAAAACAGGATTGCAAGTAGTGAAATGGGACCTGAATTCAGTCTTGTGCAACATGTATTATCTGATCAAAGTTTCTCCAGCTAGGAGGGCATCATACACTGCTATGACTGGAAGCACACTATTTTCCCTGAAGTTTTGCTCCACTAGGTGGTTGGAGAATGTTAAGTGCCTTGGCAGAGCTATGACTGTTTTTGACAACATCAAGAAGTATGTGGAAAAAGCAAAATTCCCCCACAGTAAACCTGCAATTTGTATAAAAGCTGCAATGCGAGATCCACTCATGAAGTGCAAAATGGCTTTCATGAAAATGATTGCTGGTGATTGTGAGCCATTTCTAATTAGGTTTCAAAACCAAAAACCATTGGCACCTTTTTTGTATGGAGAACTTTGTAAGCTAATCAAGAAGCTAATGAGTCATTGCATAAAATCGGAAACGCTGCAAAACGTGTCTTCTGGTTCCCAGTTGTTAACAATTGACATGAAATTGTCTGAGAACTTGCTTGACAGAAGCAAGGTTGACATTGGCTTTGCAGCAAAGAAGCTGTTGAAACAAACTAATCTGAGTGAACGTCAAGTGGCCGAGTTTTGCCTATGGTGTTGAAACATGGTGGTAGCTCTTGTTGAAAAGTTGATTGAGAAAATCCTTTGAAGTTCAAGATGGTGCGTGTCCTATCAGCATTAGATCCTACTATCATTTTATACAACCCAAATCTTGGAATCACTAGAATAGGGGCTGTTCTTGAAGCTCTACATGCAGCAAATCAGATCAATGACACAGTAGTGGAAAAAGCAAAGCAACAATACACTACTTTAACCACAACTGCCCACAATGAATTCAAGGCTCAATTTCAAGCATATGTTGCAAAACAAAATGATGAAGTTGGACTGGATAGGTTTTACAGTGTTATTTTGATGTCCAACAAAAGTTTCTCAGACCTGTGGACTGTTGTCAAAATGTGCCTTAACCCTCATGGTAATGCTTCTGTTGAAAGTGGATTTTCGGTTAATAAGTCAATGTTAATTCAGAACCTCCATGAAGAAACTGTTGTCTGTCAACGTCAGGTTTACAATGCCGTCTTGAACTGTGGAGGACTTGAATCTGTTGTAATTGATAGGAATCTGTTGCAGTCAGTCAGACATGCTCATGCACACTACACAGAGCACTTGGAGGCTAAACACCATAAGCAACAATAAGAAACTCAGAAGAAAGAAGAAACTTGAGGGACAAATTAAACATCTTGAAAATGCTAAAAAAAGACTGAAATGCTAAAAAAAAGACTGAGAGAAACCAAGAAGAGGAAGAGGAAACGAGAAACTAAAAGAATTACAAAATAAAAAGAGAAAACTGTAGAAATGATAGTTTTATATCTTAAATCTTCATTCTTTAAAAACAGATTACTTCTATTCTAATTTTTAACTTGATTATTACTGCAATTTCAAAACTATAGGTTTCGTAATGTGGCTTCAGAGAAACCATTTTAGATAGAACATTTATATAATTTTTAATGTACCTTTAAAACAGTAACTAAAATGTTATGTCATTTGTTAGCATTCAGAGTTTACATGAATTGAAGTTTGTATCTTGGTGTAATTTTTGGCGCAATTGCAAAACAAATGTTGCTGCAGTGAATGTTGAAAGAAGCTGATATTAAATCTCTTACTTTGACAAATATTTTTGCAGTTGAGACTTGTGTAGTTGTAGAGTACGATGTTTCATTAGGCCCTCCATTAATGCAACACGACCTATTCATTTTTTTTTTAAAGTTTTTATTAATTTTACAAATTATAACGTTTTTTGGGTTTTTTTTGTTTTTTGACCTATTCATTTTTTAACTTGTGGTTATATTTGAATGGTGGTCAGGGAAATTGACAAATGTTGGTCAGGGAAATGAAAAATAAAATTTTAGTGGCAACCCTGACATTCCAAGCTCTACATCCCGCACCCGCACAAAATACCCCCATCGAGACTGTAGTCTCTGTCTGGCATGATCTCTGATGAGGGAATCTGCTTTTTCTTTCAGTCTCCATTTTCCTTTGAGGACGTGGTCATGTATTTCACTGTGGCGGAGTGGGCCCTGCTGGATCTGAGCCAAAAAGCTCTCTACAGGGAAGTCATGCAGGAGATCTATGGGAGCATGGCTTTTCTGGGTAAGAATCTTTCATAGGTGCCAAAGGTAGGAATTGCTGCCACTGGGATGATACAGGAATCAAAATATTGAACAGCAATATATGAAAGAATTGGAGTGTGGCTGGAAGTTCAGGTGCAGATCAGACCTCCTTGTGTGACTTCTAACAGGATCTCTCTCTCTCTCTCTCTCTCTCTCTCCCTCTCTCTCTTTTCCAGCAGGGGATAATCAGAGGAATGAGGAGGATGAGGAACTGCATCATCTGTCGTCAGATGAAGTCATGAATGAAGATGTGAGAAGAAACGTTAGAATTCAATGCAGACATAAGAGTCAAAAAGTCAGCTGCAGGGTGAAGAAGAGGGATAGCTCAATTCCTTGCCAAGGGGAGGATTTCCAAGGAGTAGCTCTCATAATGGAGAAAACACACAGGTGCTTGGAGTGTGGAATGAACTTCTCCAGCCAAACCCAGTATAATGTACATTTTGGAATGCACAGTGGAAAAAAGACCCATCAGTGCCTGAAGTGTGGGCCGACCATGATTCGCAGAACAGAGTTCCTTAGACATTTAAGAAAACATACAGGAGAGAAACCTTATAGCTGCTCTGACTGTGGCAGGAGCTTCTCAAAGAAATCAGACCTTCTTCAACACCAAAGAATTCATGCAGGAAAGAAGCTCTCTATCTGTTCAGAAAGTGGAATGATGTTCTTGGATGGAAGAAAGGGTAATATACATTATTCAAAGCACAGTATAATAAAGGAATGTAAATGTATTCGGTGTGGAAAGAACTTCAGATACAGATCACAGCTTTTTGTGCACCAAAGGTACCACTCAGGGGAGAAAGCTTTTGAATGCTCAGAGTGTGGAAAGAAATTCAGTCATACTTTCCTTCTTAAACAGCATCAAAAAACCCACACAGCAGGGAAGCCTCTGGAATACTCAGAGTGTGGGAAGAGATTCCGTGACAGTAGCACTCTTCAACAGCCTCAAGGAACCCACACAGGGGAGAAGCCTTTTGAATGCTTACAGTGTGGGAAGAGATTCAGTCACAGTAGCATTCTTCAAATTCATCTAAGAACCCACACAGGGGAGAAGCCTTTTGAATGCTTACAGTGTGGGAAGAGATTCAGTCACAGTAGCATTCTTCAAATTCATCTAAGAACCCACACAGGGGAGAAGCCTTTTGAATGCTTACAGTGTGGGAAGAGATTCAGTCACAGTAGCATTCTTCAAATTCATCTAAGAACCCACACAGGGGAGAAGCCTTTTGAATGCTTACAGTGTGGGAAGAGATTCAGTCACAGTAGCATTCTTCAAATTCATCTAAGAACCCACACAGGGGAGAAGCCTTTTGAATGCTTACAGTGTGGGAAGAGATTCAGCAACAGTAGCAGCCTTCAAACTCATCAAAGAACCCACACAGGGGAGAAGCCTTTTGAATGCTTAGAGTGTGGAAAGAAATTCAGTCACAATAGCACTCTTCAATATCATCTAAGAACCCACACAGGGGAGAAGCCTTTTGAGTGCTCAGTGTGTGGGAAGAGATTCATTCAGACTAGCACTCTTCAAGAACATCTCAGAAACCACACAGGGGAAAAGCCTTTTGAGTGCTCCGAGTGTGGGAAGAGATTCAGCAACAGTGGCCATCTTCAAAGTCATCTAAGAACCCACACAGGGGAGAAGCCTTTTGAATGCTCAGAGTGTGGGAAGAGATTCATTTGGAGTAGCACTCTTCTAAAACATCAAAGAACCCACACAGGGGAGAAGCCTTTTGAGTGCTCAAACTGTGGGAAGAGATTCAGTCAGAATAGCAATCTTCAAAAACATTTGAGAACCCACACAGGGGAGAAGCCATTTGAGTGCTCAGAGTGTGGGAAGAGATTCAGTCACAGTAGCACTCTTCAACAGCATCTAAAAACTCACACAGGAGAGAAGCCTTTTGAGTGCTCAGAGTGTGGGAAGAGATTCAGGCAGAATAGCAATCTTCAGCAGCATCTAACAACCCACCCGGAGAAGAAAACTTTTGAATGCTCTGATTGTGGGAAGAGATTCATTTGGATTAGCACTCTTCAAAAACATCTAAGAACCCACACAGGGGAGAAGCCTTTTGAGTGCTCAGAGTGTGGGAAGAGATTCAGTCAGAATAGCCATCTTCAAGAACATCTGAGAACCCACACAGGGGAGAAGCCTTTTGAATGCTCTGAGTGTGGTAAGAGATTCATTTGGAGTAGCACTCTTCAAAAACATCTAAGAACCCACACAGGGGAGAAGCCTTTTGAGTGCTCACAGTGTGGAAAGAGATTCAGTCAGAGTAGCAGTCTTCAAGAACATCTGAGAACTCACACAGGGGAGAAGCCTTTTGAATGCTCAGAGTGTAGGAAGAGATTCAGTCACAGTGGCAATCTTGAAACTCATCTAAGAACCCACACAGGGGAGAAGCCTTTTGAGTGTTCAGAGTGTGGGAAGAAATTCAGTCAGAATAGTGGTCTTCATAGACATCTGAGAATCCACAAAGGAGAGAAGCCTTCTGAATACTCTTGAGTGTGGGTAGAGAGTCAGTCACAATAGCAGTCTTCATAAACCTCTGAGAAGCCACACAGGGGAGAAGCATTTTGAGTGCTCAGAGAGTGGGAAGAGATTCATTCCGAGTAGCACTCTACAAGAATATCTGAAGAACCACACAGGAGTTAGTGCTCAGAAGTGTGGGAAGAGATTCGGGCACAATGGCAATCTTCATAAACGTTTGAGAACCCACACAAAGGACAAGCCTTTTGAATGCTCTGAGTGTGGGAAGAGATTCAGCCAGAATCGACATCTTCAAAAACATGTCAGAACCCACACAGGACAGAAGCCTTCTGAATACTCTTGAGTGTTGGTAGAGATTCAGTCAGAATAGCCATCTTCAAGAACATCTGTGAACCCACACAGGGTATAAGCCTTTTGAATGCTCAGAGTATGGGAAGAGATTCATTTGCAGTAGCGCACTCAACAGCATCTAAGAACCGACCTAGGGGAAAAACCTTTTGAATGCTCAGAGCGTGGAAACTTATTCAGTCACGGTAGCTCTCTTCAACAACATCAAAGAATTCACACAGGGGGAAGCCTTTTGAATGCTCAGTGTGTAGAAAGAGATTCAGTTTGAATGGGACTCTTCAAAAGTGTCTTAAGAACCCACACAGGTGAGTAGCCTTTTGAATGATCCAAATGTGGAAGAGATTCAGGCCATCTTCAACAGCACCAAAGAACTCACAAAAGGAAAAGCCATGTAACTTCTTAGCCCAGGGAGGGATGTCAAACTCAATTGTTACAGGGATATGACATAAATTTCACTTTGTCTGGCTCTGCCATATGTATTGCCAGGTACTAGAGATATAAACTTTAGAAAGGACAAGGAATCCCAGAGAAATTAAACTTAAAATGACAAACGAAATGACTGAGTTTGACAGAAACCGAATTAACGATATTATTTCTTAGTGTACAAACATGCTTAATAAGTAATAGCCTTGTACTGTTTGTTTTAAAGTGTTTGATAACTGACCTCTCTTTCTCTGAACTATTGCATCAAAATCTGGGGTCCATATCTGTGTTGTACCAATCTTGAGTGTGCTGTTTAGGTGTGTATCTGTAAACTGAGAATGTACTTTTGATATATGAAGAATTATTCCAGAATAATTCTATTCCAACATACATTGTCACAAACATAGGATTTTAGAAGCAAAAGCCTTAAGTTGGGGGTAATTTGGACCCCAAAACTGGTAAAATTTGCTAATGTCAATTTCAGGAAGTTTATCCTTCCCTACAACATCACACTGGTCCCTCAGGTACCTGTGATTTCTGGCATCTTTTCATTGGTAGGTGGGGAGCAGTGTGAATGTCCCATTTTGTCGACTGTACCGACTCACTATGTGTAATCCACCTTCAGTCTGCCTCCCATCGTAGAGAACCCTTTCCCGTCCATCTCCCCCACCACCACCACTCCTCAGCAGAGGTAGTAGTTTTCCCTCTCTGAAAATACACTTTGTCACTATACGCAATCAGCAACTTTTTTGTCTACAAACATGGAAGATTTTTGTACGCGAAGCAGGCTTTGTTCCCCATTTAGAGACGTTCCCCTTAAACGTACACGTAAATTATGAACTATCCAAGGAACTGGAGCCGCTGCCCTCAACATTAGCTCAATCCACCACAAAAATTGTGAATCCTCCACAGATTCATCAGCCCCCTTTTCATGACCTCCTAAATCAGCCCTTTTCTCCCACCATGAGAACACCAAGCCACTTGTCAAGAAATTGGAGGGAATGCTGCTGATGTTGTTTACCTGTATTTCAGTAAAGCTTTTGACAGGGTTCCCCATGATGTTCTGGTGGGTAAACCAGAGGTTCATGGATTGGACTCTAGGATAGTTAGGTGGATAGGGAACTGTTTGGAGAAGAGTAGTTGTCAGTGGCATTTCAGCTGAATGGAGGGAGGTGTCCAGTGGGGTGCCACAGGGCTCGGTTCTGGGCCCAGTACTTTTCAGTATTTTTATAAATGATCTGGATCAGGGCGTGAAGGGGCTACTCATAAAATTTTCAGATGACACCAAATTGGGAGAAGCAGCTAACACACCAGAACATAGAGATAGAATTCAGCAATATCTGAACACACTGGAAAAGTGTGCGTGTGTGAATAAGATGCAGTTTAACAAGGTTAAGTGCCGAGTTGTACATCTGGGTAACATAAATGAGGAACGTGAATATGGGAGGGTAGGTACACTTCTGGGTAGCAGTGTATGTGTGAACAAGATCTTGGGGTGTGGGTGGACCATAGCCAGTGTGATGCAGCAACAAAAAAGTCTAATGCAATCTTGGGGTGTATCAGCAGAGGGATAACATATAAATCATTGTTAGAGAGATGGATTGCTGCCTGCCTTCAACCCAGAAGGGAAACATCTCGTTACTATGAATTATTGACCAAATATGTAGCTAGTCACGTTAACTGTATTTCTTTTGCGTTTTAGTTCTCACTGATGTGTTCTTTTGAAATATTCTTGCACACTCTAATAAATATCCTTTGATTATATTTGGGTGTTCTGTGTTTCAAGTGCTTCAATCCTATTCCAGTATCTTAGACCTTAAGTGACCAGGTTCCTGGTTAATTCTTCGTGGAAACTTATTATGCAAGTGGCCTACCTTGCAGGATTGACTTCCTTGATTAACCCCAGTAATGCTAGAAGCTTGCCCCTTAGCTTTTGACAGTTTGGATAGCCCAAGGGGCTGGTGGCAGATACCAAACTGGTGTGTGGACTCACACCCCAGGGTTTGGTTTTTTTTAATTTGTGCTCTGCCAGGCCCTACCAAGAATTCCCTTGGATTAGTGATTAGTGAAGGAGAGAATAACACAGGGAAAGGGGAGAGGATAGGGGGGTTGCCAAGAGGAGGGAAAGTGTGGGGGCACAGGGGAATGTGAGGTGTGCCCCCCCCCAGTCTTTGAGGGTTCCCTACCATGCAGGTTGGCCTAACCCAGGGGCCGGCATCAAACTGGGCCATACCTTTCCTAGAAGAAGAGTTGGATTTATACCCCACCCTTCATTTGGTGTCTCACAGCAGTTTACAGCCTCCTTCCTCTCCCCACAACAGACACCCTGGGAGGTAGGTGGGGCTGAGAAAGCTCTGAGAGAACTGCCCTTGAGACAACTGTCACTGGCCCAAGGAAACCCAGATGGTTGCATTTTGAGGAGTGGGAAATCAGACCTGGTTCTCCTGATTAGAGTCTGCCACTCTTAACCACTACACCAAACTTGCTCTCCAGTAGAGGATAGGTAGAAGATGTTCAGGGGAGGGAGTGGGAAAGCTGAAGACAAAGGGGCAGATAAATGTAGGTTGGCTGTTCGGTGGGGAGGAGAGACGGAAGCTGGAAAAGAGGAGGGGCTAAGGGGTCGCTCAGGAAAGGGAAATATGAAATAGTGGGGGGGGGGATGAGATGCATGCCACAAATTCTTGCTGGTTCCCACTTGGAAATAAATAAATACGGAAGTCTTGAGATTTCCACACCTATCAAACATACATTTGAAGAAGCCCCTCCCCCCACAAAAATATTTAATCCTTAAACCTATCTTGCAAGATTTGTTAGCCTGAAAATGTGACAGGCAAAAGGGCATCGAAAGACCTTCCAGATCTTCAGTGCATCTGAACCCAGATCCAGTTTTTTGCTTTGGGCTACAAGTCAGAAATCATGTCTGTAACTACCGATTCTGCCGCAAAAAGCACAGAGCCACAATTTTGTGGCACTACGACATCACAAAAACATAATTCTGAAGTTTGGATTTTCATGGATCCGCAGGATGTTTGCATTACGTCACCCCCAACTCACCATCAAATGACATATCATCTCAATAGCCACAGAAAGCCACAGGTCAGCTGGTTCATGGTGCTGCCACAGCACCAAAATGATGTTCTAAAGCACAGATCACCACGGGTACTGTGGATTTTTACTTCTAGTCATCCCCAAATCATCCAATCACATATCATGGCCATGGCCACATTCTGCACCACAGAAATCTGCAAAGCCACATGGCGCAAAAATGTGGTAAAAAACAACCAATATTTCAACACAACCTTAATGCTTAAAATAGTGGACTTGTGTGAAACTCAAAATGTTCTGGACTAGCTACCAAGGTCTCCCATGGAACGAATGATAGCCAGCCCCCACCATTAGTAAACCAGAGGTAGGTATCTTTCTTGGACCTAGAGCTACTAAATACCGATTGACGCATAGCTGCTGTAAATGTGACGCAGGACAAACTGGAACTGAGTAGAACTGACCCAATGTCCTGACCCAAATCTATCACCTACTTTCTATCTCTCGGGTCAGGAAGCTCCCAGAAAGTCAAGGAGTCAAAGAAGCTAGATTCAAATACCATATCTATCTAGGTTCTGATAGTGACACCACTAACTTCTGGAAAATATAAACATCCTCTAAGGCAGAGGTGTCGAACTCATTTGTTAGTAGGGCCAGATCTGACATAAATATCACTTTCTCGGGCTAGGCCATCTGTGCCATAAAATGTAACACAAGGTACCTGAGATATAAACTTTATAAAGATGATTTCAGATGCCAGTTGGAAATAGCAGGCATGATTGGATTAGGTGTGATATGCAGAGGGGTAGAGATACCAGCACTGTCGTGATATACAGAGGTGGAGATATCAGCATTGGTAATAAGACAGGAAACCTCGGTCTCCATTTGGTACAGGAGGATTCAGTCCAGGACGATGCAAAGAATAAATGGAAAGAAGTCTGAAGAAGCAAGCAGTGACTCACAAAAGCACATACCCTACCACAATTTTGTTAGTCTTTAAAGGTGCTCTTACTCTTTCTACCACCATTAGAAACCACAACTTTCAAAAACCAGTGGGGGGACATTTTAACATTCCAGAGCATTCAGTTGCTGACCTAAGAGTAGCAGTTCTCTGACAAACAAATGTCAAAGGCAGCTTAGAGAGACTGCTGAATTGCAACTGATCATGAAGCCCAAGACGATGCAAACTCCTGGACTGAATTGAGACCTAGGTTTCTTTTCTCATTACGAATGCCTGCTCTTGTCTTTTGGCACCTGAACTCACTTCAGTCTCAAGATATAACGACAGATGGACTCACATTCCAGCGAGCAGTGATACATGAAAGCTCATGCCCTGCCACAAACTTTGTTAGTCATTAAGGTGCTGCTGTACTCTTCCTCCCTTTCACTAATGTACTACGGATTTGGGTGACCTTGGTTGGTATCTGAGGGGACCAATCCATTCATTTGGTTTCTCCCTGTTAACCCATCTCTCCCTTATTATAAAAGAGTTTTGGGTGCCAGAATTCTAAAATTGGCCCCTTTAGTGTTAGGCCGAAAAAACTGCCACTCGGAAGATACTGGCTGGGTTCATTGGCTGCTTTGTGCAGTCCCGGCCAGCGTTCCAAGGTCATTTACATATGGAAGCTGATTGGACTACACTCCATTCCACACCTCAAACTCACCCCCCCCCGGCAGTTGGAATTTTCAGTTGGGAGAGGAGAATGATGTCAGCTGCTCCCTAGGCAGAGGCTGTGTGTGTGTGTGTGGGGGGGGTTGTAAAGACAGACAGGCAGATAAACGTTGGCTGATGGTTGCCAACTCCAGGTTCGAACTCCAGGACATAGGGTTGCCAACTGCAGGTTGGAAACTTCCAGGATATTTTAGGGATGAAGCGTGCTGAGGGTGGGATCTGAGGAGGAGGAGGAAGAGGGGGACCTCAGACAGATACAATGCCATGCTGCCCACACTCCAGACAAGCTGTTGCCAGTCTCCAGGTGACAGCTGGAGAGATCTTAAA